GGGGGCCCGGCCATGGACCGCGGCACGGGCCGGCCGCCCGCCCGGAGGCAGGGCCCGGGAGCCGGCCGCTAGCGGCGCCGGGGGCCGGGGCCGGGGCCGGCATGAGGACCGCCGCGGGGGGACGTCTGTGGCCCGCGTCGGCGCTGGGGACAAAGGTGCGTGCGCTTGTCGGGACCGGGCTCTCACGCTAGCTTCGCGGCAGTTGGCACTTTTGGAGAAGTTGTGACAACCGGAAGACGGATGCCGAGCGTCGCCGGGACGCTCGAGACGGAACCGCTGGCTGGGACCTGCTCCCCGCGGCCGAGCGCGGCGCTGCCCGAGCTTCAGCAGACCAGGTAGAGGCGGAGTTCCGCTCAGGGTCCCCATCCCGGTCGCAGCCTGCGCGGTGGCAGAGTCCGATTGACCTGGCTTGCTGCCTGCCGGACCTTTCAGGAGTCTCCGCCTGCTTGAAGGTCCGCACGCGGGTCCTCCAGGCGCCGTGTCACTCCGGGGCTTTGGTTGTCGGCGCGTGGGGTTGTCCCGCAGGCTGGTTTCTCTGGGGACCACGGTTTCCTTGAAAGACCGTGAACTAGCAGCAGGGACGGTCGCTTACTGCGTGTGTGTTTTTAGGATAAACTGACCTTGACAGCGTGTTTTAAGATTCCAGGACATAATGAAGTTCAGCACATGTTTCTAATTTTAAAATTCTGAGTGTTTGAGGAATAGAAGGACGTGTTGACAACGAAAAATATGAAATCTGGAGCCAACGTGGCCTCGAACTTAGAGGCATGCCCAGTCACGTCAGGAACAGGGCAACGAATGTATTGTCTAAAGTTATCCTGGAAGTTCTAGCCAATGCAATAAGACACGAAACACAAATAAGAAATAAAATTTTTCAGAAAAAGGAAGACAAAATTCTCATTTCTGTGGATGACAGGACTGCCTATTTTGGAAAAAAAAAAAAAAAAAGAGACGTTAGAATAAATAAGAATTCAGTGACTGATTATAGAATCTGCATACACAATTTAGTTTTTCTGTTTCACCAAAAACCAGTTTGAAAATATAATGGTTAAAAGGATGTATTTGCAGTAAGAAAAGTTATGCAATTACTAGGAGTAAGCCAAGATTCAAAGGAGGCCAGCATCTTCTCAATAATATCAGTTGAGGTTTTTTAAGAGGGATGTTTTTGTGTGTAGAATTCTGTATGTAGACAAGTGTTTAACTCATAAAGTTGAGTACCTATAAACTGAGCTATTTTTAAGACTTTTAAGTTTTACTCACAAATCTTGTTTTATTTACAAATTTAAGAACATTTTATATAAAAACAAACTTGATCTTTGAAAAAGGTTCAATTAAGGCACATTTAGCAGGTTATATTCCCTTGAACTAACTCTTTTACTAAGCTAATTCTCTTAAATGTTTTAAACACTTAAATCTTTATATTTTTCATTCTCTCAAATACTTTACACTTTTTTTTTTTTGAGTTGGAGTTTCACTCTGTCACCCAGACTGGAGTGCAGTGGCCGCTCCCGGCCACCGCAGCCTCGACCTGCTGGGCTCCAGCGATCCTTCCGCCTCAGCCTTCCAAGTAGCTGGAACTACAGGCGCACCCTACCACACTAGGCTAATTTTTTGATTTATTGTAGAGATGAGGGCCCGCCAAGTTGCCCAGGTGGGTCTTGAACCTGCAGACTCAGGCAATCCACTCTCCTTAGCCTCCCAAAGCACTGGGATTACAGGCTGAGCCACCAAGCCTGCTAGTACTTTACACTTCTAAAGAGATGAACTTACAAACTTAATAGTAAAATCTTTCCAAGGATTTAAGGAACTCTTGTAAGTCCAATAAACTTTAAATTTAAGTCAGGTTCTTTTAAATGTGTAAATACTTTTGATGTTATATTAAGCATTTCAAATTAAAATTGTAAGTCTGGCAACATTCTTTAGTATGTCTGATGCTCTTAAATGTTTCAAAGGGCTTAGTAACATTAACACATTATCATAATTGTAAAACAACCTTTGGGTTTTAACACTAACTTCTAAGTGTTAATGTTCCGTAGGTTTGATTTACTATATCCTCTAGTCCTATTTCTATATCTTCTGGGGCTTTCAGAGTCACTTATATAACTGAAATCCATCTAGGATTGAATTTGCAGTCTCTGAAACTTGAACTGAGATAAGTTTGTAAGTTACTGCCTGGACAGGGGCACTAGGACCTGGTTACCACTTCCACACTGACCTTCCTACCTCACATTGGTTAATTTCCTCTTTCTGCTGGAAGACTGTGCCTGCTCTGTCAGTGGGGGACCTATCAGCCTTCAGTTGGGATTTGTTTTCACAACCCAGTGCTTCACAAATGTCCTGAGGGCCTTGAATGTTTCTTTTAGGGGAATCTCTTTCAACATCTCAGTACTTGTTGGTAGATGGTCTTTGCACTGCCAGCCTGTTTTACTGCTGATCACTTTGCAGCCTGATAGAATTATTTTAACTCTTTGTTTTTAGATATTTTGTTTCTCATCTGGCCTTATGGATTGTAATTTTGTGCTCATAATGGGAAGAATGAGTGTTACATATATACAAATACTTCTACATATAATAGGTATATACAGATTTTCTTGAATTAATTCATATTTGTGATTTATTTAACTTAATACAGTGAACTTTTTTTTTTTTTTACAAAAAAAATAAAACTTACTACAGTGAACTTTTTGAGGGAACCTGCCAAAATAATACACAGGGTAGAATAGTGAAGTATTATTATAAAATAATAATAAAGGTGGACTTTTAATTCAGAATATTAAAATATACCATGAAACTTTCTAAAACTGTACAGTACTGGTTAAAGAATCTCTGAATACTAGATTAGTAGATGGATTTTAGAAATAGACCTTAGGTATCTCCACATGGTATCTCCACATGATCCATACCAAATCAGTGGGGAAAGAAGGTATATTTAGTGATTGCTGCTGGGAGGAAATCAAGCAAGAACCTCTCCTTATACCTTACTGCACAGTAAACTCAATTGGAGTTAAAGAGTTAAATGTGAGAAATATGTGCATAAAAAACCACTTAGGAGCTTTTGTGTGTGTGTGTGTGTGTGTGTGTGTGTGTCAGGGTCCACTCTATTATCTGGGTTGGAGTGCAGTGGCACAATCATGGCTCACAGCAGCTTTGACCTCCTAGGCTCAGGCTATCCTTCTGCCTCAGCCTCCCGAAGTAGCTGGGACTATAGGCACACACCACCATGCCTGGTTAAGTTTTTATTTTTTTTGGTAGCGTCTTGCAATGTTGCCTAGGGTGGTGTCAGACTCCTGGGCTCAAGCAGTCCTCCTGCCTTGGCCTCCCCAAGTGCTGGGAATATAGGCGTGAGCTACCACACCTGGCTCATATAGGTAAATTCTTGTATAATGTGGTTGGAGAAAAACACTTAGGCATAAAAGAAATGGGAGGAGTCATAGGGGAAAAGAGCCTAGTTTTGACTGCACAAAGAGTTAACATTTCTTTCATCATACCTCACTCTAAGCAAAGTTAAACAGTAAATAACAAAACAGGAAAAAGCACTTATAAAAGCGTTATGTATCTATAATGCATAATTTAATAACCTGTATAATATCAAGAACCCTTACAAGTCATAAGAAAATCATAATTTCTTCAGCATTCTCTGATGGTTGAATGCTTCCATAATCTTTCTTATACAAAACTGCAGCGAATATCCTTATTTATTGGTATGGTAGAAAGTTCATGTTAGAATGTACATTTACAAAAGCAAGACACAAAATTATACTTGAAGCACACATAAAACATATATGTATAGCATGTACTAGCATATTTGGAATTCTGGGATTCAAAATCTATTTTGATTATTCCCAAACAGCTTTGAAGGTGTTTGACATGTGATAATTTGTTAATCTGCCAAGGCCAGTGTTTGGTGTGCAGGAGACTAGTGCGCAGGATAGGAGTATGTAACTTTGTTAGGAAGGTGAGCCTAGCTACACCTCTCCTGAGTCACTGGTTCTTTACTATCCTAGGGTAGACAATACCTTTTGTTAGCTGATAAAAGCCTTATTGTAAAGAACAGCCCCAAATGAAAGTAAACTGATGAAAATAAAAAGTCTTAAGAAAGATCATCCTCAGCCTGAAAAAAAAGTGTTGGATAGATTAGGTGGAAAATAGTTAATATTCTTTAGTGGTCTTTGCAATTTTGAGGAGTTCTAAGGCTCTGTCAGTATGGGTTCTCTAAGGCCCAGGACCTAGTGTGGAAACATAGAAAAAAAAAAGACTGGGAGGAAGTATGCTAACCAGTGACTATCTCTGAATGATATTGATGAAAAAGTTTTAGGGTGACTATTAAAGCAGAAAAAAGCATGAAGTAGCAATTAAAATAAATTGAACAATGAAATCCTTTTAAACTTAAATCTGTGTAATTGGACAGGAAAATTGTTACTGTTACCATCTTTGTTTGACCTGGCTCTTCTTTTCAATGTTAACAGAAGCCATGCAGTGACACCCTCTAGGACTTGTTGGTAGCCATGTCGGAGCCCCACAGGGTCCAGTTCACCTCTCTCCCAGGTTCCCTGAATCCTGCATTTTTGAAGAAGTCCCGGAAGGAGGAGGTTGGGGGAACAGAACAGCATCAGGACTGTGAGCCGGCTGCGGCAGCTGTTCGGATTACACTCACCCTCTTTGAACCAGATCACAAACGCTGCCCAGAGTTCTTCTACCCAGAGCTGGTGAAGAATATACGAGGGAAAGTGAAAGGCCTTCAACCCGGAGACAAGGTACACTCCAGTGTCCTCCAAGGGACAGGTGTCAGTGTGTGCACATGAGACTTTGTAGTAGGGAAGCAAGACAAGTGAGGCTTGGGCTGTCCCAGGATGACATCATTCACCCAAGGCAAACACACAGTTTGCTGGTCTTGCCTCTGGGTATGAAGGGAGAGAAGACTTTCTAGTACCATTCTCCCAACTTAATGTTAAGGATAAATGTATGGCGCATAAAGGCTAATTTGAATTATGGCTAATTGATACACATTTTTAAAACAACAAACTTTTCTGTGCCAAGGTTATAAGTGTTAACTGCCACTGAGGCCAGTTTCTGACTTCCAGTGTTGGGATTCCCACACTGGACATTTTACTTTTCCAGGTGAGTCCTGTCCTCTGCCTTATGTAAGTGTAGGCAAAAAAAAAAAAGTCTGCTCATCTCGTCCAATAGCAGTAATATTCTCTGTGGTTCCTCTATCTGGATGAATACAAACTTGTTTCTGCCTTTTAAAAAACATTTTTACTTTATTTTTTGCCAGAATTTGTAGACTATAGGGCATTTGAAAATCAGTTCAGTTTTTAAACAGTTTATTTTCCTGGCAGATTTGTTTTACTTTTTCACATGGAATTTTCAAACATGCACAGACATAGAGAACATAGTATTAGCAGTACCCGTATGCCCACCAAACAGCTTCAAGTAGTACTGTTGTTTTGGCAATTAACATTTGCAAATTTTTACAGACTTTTAAATTGAATCGTACATAAGAAAAGTGCACATTTGATAAATGTACACCTTGATGGATTTTCACAAACTCAGCATACCCATGTGATTTGCACCTGGGACACAGGATTATAACATTTACTAAGACCCAGAAACCCTTCTCCTTGCCCTCCCAGAACACTACCCTAATGCTCATGGGCAAAACACTGCCTTGATAGCTGGCAACTTAGATCAGTTTTGTATGGTTTTATATTTTATATAGATGGAATCATAGAGTATGAGTAGGGGCTAGGTGGAGAGCGTTTTTAAAGCACCTATCATATAGCTGTGCACTATGCTAGACTTTGAGGAAAAGATAAGAGGGCCCCACACAGGCAGCATTTTGATCTCTAGAGGGGCTCTTATGAAATGGGGATGAAGCTAATACTTGGGCCGCAGGAAGCTGAGGGTGGAAGGAGATCATATCAGTGAAGTTTCTAGAGAGTGCCTCAGTGCCAAGTGCTCAGTAAGTCTCATTCATAGTTGTGCTCTTTAAGGGAGAAGTATGTTTGGTTAGAAGGCTTACCCGCTCTTCTTTGCTCAAATAAGATGTGTTTCCTTGACTGAGGCCTGATTGCTGGAATGGAAGCCATTGAGTCTGTATCAAGGGTCAGCTTGTTGTAAGAGGGTCAGGGGGCAGGATGAGAAAAAAAGAATTTCAAATCTGTTCACAACCCCTTTCCTAGTAGCTGCGGTGTTCCATAAGAGGCAGGAATTGGCTAATGTATTTATTTATGGGTTCAAACCAAATCAGCAGGTCAGCTGAAATTAGAACTCCAGTACTCTTTTAAAGACTCTAGGCGCCCATCTATATTGCAGAAAAAAATGCATGGAGTGTACACTGAAAGCTGCATTCATTTTCGGGGATTCACTCGTAGACTTCAGGTTTAGAGCTCCTGAGTCATTGTGGGTCTACTCTGCAGCACTGAAAGTACAATAAAGTCCGACACATTTGTGCCTTACTTCACTTAGCATATATGTCTTACTGTGTGACAGCATTGTGCTATACATTGAGGACTGTATAGAAGTGGAGAAGATGCTGTACCAGCAACTTGTGATCTTGTAGATATTTTAGGATAATTATGCTAATACAGGTAACAGAAGTGACAGTGGTCATTGTTAAGTCTGGTACAAATACAGGCCTGGAGGGCTTGGATGGAGGAGAGCTTACATCCTGGATGCTGTATTTGGACAGAGCTGGAGCTTCATGCAGTCAGGAAATAGGAGTTACTGGTAGATGACTGTTGGCAAGTCATTAAGTAGTACATGTTAAATCCAGTACTGCTCAAAATTGGTGGGATTTCTTACAATTATTTTAACCACTCAAGTTACATGTGATCTTTGTAGAAAAATTAGAAGATACACATAAGCACACTTTTTAAAGACCAGCCATTTGTGGTCTGTTCATTATACGAGAGAGGACCCAGAAAAATCCAGAATTATTTTTTGGAGTGTGGGCCCCTTGAAATACAGGCTTCCCCCACTAGGTAAGTGTTCTAGAAACCCATCAGCACCAGCTAGTGTTGTAAGAGGCTGTGTTTGGCTTCAGTTAATTTTTTTTTTTGAGATTGTTTCCATGTGTTTGCCCATTTCATGATAGGTGATTTATGAACGCACCTGCCCACACCTTGTTGAGTGTTTAGCAGTTTTTGACCAAAAATGACATGACCCCCATTCTCTTTCCTCCCTATTTAACTGATCTTACCCCGAGTGACTTTTTTGTTTCCCTGGATGAAAAAAGTTGTCAAAGGGAAACATTTTTGCTGATGTGGAAGAGGTGAGACAAAAAAAGGCAGCACTAAAAGGCATCAAAATTGTTAAGTTTAAAAACTGCTTTGAGCAGTGGAAAAAGCATCTCAGTAGGTATATTGCATCAAATGACGAAGAATTTGAAGATAATTAAAGTGTAAACACGTAAGAATAAATACACAATCTTTTATAAATTCTGAGGTTTTTTGGATCCCCTCCCATACATATGTTCTGTAATATCCCATTAGACACACACACACACACACACACACACACACACACACACACACACACCCACACCCCACCCACACCCACACCCACCCACACACCATAAATTATCTTGATTTCATTAGGCAAAGATGGGAGGGTAAGATAACAAAGTTTTGTTTTCAAGCAATCATCCAGCCTTTAGTGTTTTTTGATCTGCCTTGAAGTCTTAAGCATATTTGGTACAGGAGTCCTATTAAAGTTAAAATTCTTTGGCCAAGAATCTTAAGACCCACCTCTGGGAAGTTTACTTGGTAAGAAAGATGCAAGAATGAGCTTATAGAAGAAGTGAACATTGGAAGACTATGTGAAAATACTTGGAGCGCACTGAGACTGTAGGACAAGAGAAGATGACAGATCATAAAGATAGGCTTTTAAGGATAGGGAATGCTGTGAACATGGGCTTGACTTTGGTAGTTCTACATTTGGTGGGTTCTTAACCCTTTTGAGCCATGGGCTATTTTGGAAGTCTGGTGAAACCTGTTGATGCCTTCTTAGAATGTTGTTAAATGCATAAAGTGAACTTTAGGGTTACAAAGGAAATCACCTATTTGAACACAGTTGTGCTGTGGCTGAGCCTCTGTTACTAAAGGCTGAGTTCAAGCCCAGTCCCGTGTGCTGTGGTGGGTCATTGGAGGCATTTGGTCAAGTTTTGTTGAACTACACAAATAGAAATTTAACTTTCTTAAACAATTAAGACAAACACTGATGAGATGGTTCCATGTATACTACCTTGCCCTTTTCTGAAAAACAGCTTTTGTTATGCAGTTTACAGGTGTTGAGTAGACAGTGAAGGTTCTATGACTAGGAATACAGGAATATTTTGTAACTTATTTCTTGTCTCATTATAGAAGAAAGATCTCTCGGATCCTTTCAATGATGAAGAAAAGGAAAGACATAAGGTGGAGGCCCTTGCCCGGAAATTTGAAGAAAAATATGTAAGCTTTCTCTCTTGAGCAACAGAACCACTTAATTGGGTGGGAGAGGTTTCCAGACATTTCCATCTTCTGTTAGTGGATTATCATGTAATCAACGTTGATCTGGAAGTAACCATAGAGCTTGGAGAGAACAGAATGCAGTTAAATGCGTTAAGGTACAGAAAAGGCGTGAATGGCAGAGCTGTGTGTGGAGCCAGCTGGAGAGGTAAACAGGAAGGGCCCGTCACCTGCTTTAGAAGGAATATTTTGTAGAGGAATGAGAGGCCTTTGAGTCCACACTTCTGCTTCAGCCATTTTATGCAGATACAAATCTGTCCCATGTGAAAAGTTTTTCAGGAAAGGAGGTTTAGGGGTTTGTGTGCTAGAGTGTCACTGTGTATTACAGTTTTGATCACTAGCTGATGAAGTTCAAGGCAACAGCTAATTCTGTGTATTTATCAAAAAGCATGTGATCTATTGCTTTTAAATTTTAGGGTGGAAAGAAACGTAGAAAAGACCGAATACAGGACTTGATTGATATGGGGTATGGTTATGATGAATCCGATTCCTTCATCGATAACTCTGAGGCGGTAAGTAGCTGATGAAAATTTGATATCAGAGCCATCACACCTTAGCTGCTTTGGGTGATGGCCAGGAAGGTGGGGATGGGGTCAGAGCGGGCATACCACTTCCTGACACAAGGCGATCAATAGCAGCACTGCTGACAGGAGGAAGTGACATTCTTGATTTGGGCTTTAGTTTCCTCATCTGGAAGTGATGACCAGATCTTAGCCACCTGTTAGCTCAGACATCCATGATTGACCAGAAAGATGTGTTAGCTTTCTGTGGGAAACATTGTAGAAACAGTCACGTATCTCTAGACCTGTTCTACACCTTTGAACTGTAGAATCAGGACGTGGAGCTGATGGTTTGTTTCCCCCCTTCAGTATGATGAGCTTGTTCCTGCTTCTTTGACTACAAAGTATGGAGGATTTTACATTAACTCGGGAACCCTGCAGTTTAGACAAGCATCAGAATCTGAGGATGACTTCATTAAAGAAAAGAAGAAAAAATCTCCAAAGGTTAGAATGTGCTTGCTTTTGGATTTCAGAAATGCTTTTTGACGTATCCCTATCAGACCAGTAGGTGATTCGCCAGAATATGCGACGGTTTAGGCTGGCCTAAGAGGCTGATGGAAAGGCAAAGCTGTGCAAGGTTGACGGCTCACCTCACGCACGTGCCCCGATGAGGACACGTGGACCTGGGGGTCTATTCAGCTCTCAGTCATTGTGTCCATGTCACGTGACATCCCCGCCGGCTCAGCAGGGGTCATTTCTGGTGGTGGTCTCAGGATAGAAACAAGATCAGTGAAGGGTGTGGGGTGAGGGAGTGTGCACCACCTGCCAACCTCTTCTGTGGACACGTAGAGGACTTCAGTTCTCAGGCTATCAATCCCACTGCTAACACACCGCCTAAGACCAGTGTATTTTAAAAGCTCTCTACCACTGCCTGTGTGTTCCAAATGAGAGGTAGGGCACACATGTAACTATTTCAAACTAGAAAGGTTTCAGGCTCCAGAATGGCCACTGTTGTCTCAGCCCTGGATGTTTCCAGGAGATGCTGTCAGTGGGAATGCTGTGGGTTTGTGTCCAGGGACTGATCTGAGAGCTTTTGTTCGTGAAGGAGGTAAGACAGGTCTCAGGATGAGCCCCGGGAGGAGCAAGGCCAGTGCTGTGGAGTGCACTTGCTCCCGAAGTTAGGGAGCCGTGTAACTGTGCCTTGTCTTTAATTCTCAGAAGCGGAAGTTGAAGGAAGGTGGTGAGAAGATAAAGAAGAAGAAAAAAGATGACACTTATGACAAGGAGAAGAAATCGAAAAAGTCCAAGTTTTCCAAAGCCGGGTGAGAGGCAGCAGCTTCTTTGCTAGGATAAAGCCTGACTGTTAGGGCAGGACACCCAGGAGCTGACTCACCTCCTCCCACAGCTGCAGAAGAGGCAGTAGGGCCCGGCCTTCCTGTCCTCCCTCATGCCTCCCGCGGTGCCATTCTGGGAATAGACGCTCACCTCTCTGTGTGTCAGATAGTTCCACTGTCAGTGTTGGCAGCTATTTCTGTCACTGTGTGACTGCTGATGTTTCTTGTTCTCTTGGGCACTCCTCTCTGCCCCAGTTCTCTTCCTGTCTCTGCTGTTTTTCTGTCTTCTGTGGTCTTGCTTCCTTCTCCTCACTTGGTCTCACTCCAGCTGCTCTTCAAGTTGCTGCTGTTCTCTGCTGCTCCTGCTTTCTCCCTTTAAATACTTTTCTTGCTTCCCCCCTCTGCAACCTTTTATTTCAGCCTGGCAGTGGTTTCTAAAAACCCATCGGAAATTTAGCATTATGTGACACTGTGTTGCTAACCTATGTTAACTCTTAAGCTTTGGTCTCAGCAAGAACGAGCTCCATATGCCAAGAGGAGGGAGGAGTGATAACAGGGTGGACTGTGACTGAGGTTCTTCTGGAGACCATGGCCCTGGGAGCAGGGTGAAGGCCTCTTGAGTTTCCCTCTGGAGGTGTCTTGCAGCCTGAGTGACCAGTTCCCTCTTGCTTGCAGCTTCACAGCCCTCAATGCCAGTAAGGAGAAGAAGAAGAAGAAATATTCTGGGGCTTTAAGCGTTAAAGAGATGCTAAAGAAATTCCAGAAGGAGAAAGAGGCTCAGAAGAAAAGGGAGGAAGAGCACAAGCCGGTGGTGGTGGTGGCAGCGGAAGCGCAGGGCCTGCGGGAGTTGGAGGGCACCACTGACCCCTTGCTATCACTCTTTGGCTCTACTTCTGACAACGACTTGCTCCAGGCGGCCACAGCCATGGACTCGCTGACAGATTTGGATTTGGAGCAGCTGCTCAGTGAGTCTCCAGAAGGAAGCCCCTTCCGTGACATGGATGATGGAAGTGATTCCCTTGGGGTGGGATTGGACCAGGATTTCAGGCAGCCCTCCTCTCTCCCTGAAGGCCTGCCAACACCCCTGGAGAAGCGCGTTAAGGAACTGGCTCAGGTATGGTGACACAGTGTGGCTGGGCTTTCCTGGAAGTGGTTTGGGCAGATTGCCACTGATGCTCCACATATGTTGTTCGATACCCAGAAAAACCCTTAGTGAGTTGGCAGTTAGAGTGTCAACTTTTTCTAAGCTCTCTCCTCAACCCAAGTGGGAAAATGGTGGAGGCCTGGCCCATCAGGCATCACTCCTAGGCCTTTCTTTCTTTCTTGACTTGTGGAAAATTTACTTTTAGGGAGATTTTTCTCTGTTTTCTGCTTGTCCGTTTCCTTTCATCACGTTGATCTTTCCTTTTGTGAGATAGATGCACATTGATGTTGGCAGTAGATAGCTGAGACAGAAAGTCATCTTAGTATTCTTTTGGAGGCTTTGAGAATTCACAAAACTTTGCAAACATCTGAGTTACCTATGGAGTATATATTTTGTTGCCTCTGGGTTTTAGTTGTTCCCTTGCGGTGTGAATCATCAAAGTTAGGTAGTGATTTACAGGAATGTCTGTGTTGTGATAAATAAAATGAGCTTAACTGTAAATGCCTCACTGGAAACAGCCACCACCTCTTTTAGAATAGAGCAGCTGTTGCTGCCCTTGTCCTCTGGTGACTGAGAAGAATTATCAAGTGTTGAGAGCTGTCCGTTCAGTAATGTATTTCCAACTATAAGACAAGCATGGATCGTTAGTTGTGATGGCATTTACTTTTTTTTTTTTTTTTTTTTTTGAGTTGGAGTCTCACTCCGTCGCCCAGGCTGGCATGCAGTGGCATGCTCACGGCCACCCCAGTGTTGACCTGCTGGGCTCTGACAATCCTTCCCCTCCCCTCAGCCTTCCAAGTAGCTGGAACTATAGGCACGAGCTACCATGCCTGGTTAATTTTTTGATTTATTGTAAAGACGAGGTCTTTACCATGTTGCCCAGGCTGATCTTGAACCTGCGGGCTCAGAAAATCCTCTTGCCTTGGTGACATTTACCTTTTGGTTAAAATCTTTACCTTAGGCATCATGACTTATAGTGTACCTCAGCAGCATTTATACTCACCAGGTGTACATTTAAACCAGTGATTCTCACAGTATTTTAGGATCGCTGTTATGTGTCATCTCCCTCATGTTTTAGGTTAGGGCAAATTGTTAACCACTGCTACAAATGATTTTCTCACTTCCAAAAAGTATTTGAACATTATGTGGTGCAAATAGAGCATCTTACTCAAATCTCTAACTTACCTTTGCTAGCTTGTGTGCAGTGTTAGACATACAATATTCTATTTGTAATGATTTTTGAATTGTGCCATATCAGGGATTCAAAGTATATCTTAACATGATATTGAGGCAGAAGGAGTGGAATCTGAACTGGGCGTGTTGGAGCCTACTGTCCTATATTTGCTCTCAGAATTTGTATTTTAAAAAAAATACACTAATTACTCTTTGTTATCTGCAATCCTGTGGTTTGTAATCAAATTGTTTCGTAGCCTGTGAAAGTCGTGTTAAATAACTTAAGTTAGGTTTATGTGACAGTAGCGAATCTTTTTTTTTGTTTGAGTCTCACTGTCGCCCAGGTTGGAGTGCAGTGTCACGCTCATGGCCACCGCAGCCTCGACCTTTGGGGCTCAGGTGATCCTTCTGCCTCAGCCTTCCAAGTGGCTGGAACCACAGGTGTGTGCCACCGCTCCTAGCTAATTTTTTGTAGAGATTGAGGTCTTGCCAAGTTGCCCAGTCTGGTTTGAGCCCCTGGACAAAGGCAGTACTCTTGCCTAGGCCTCCCAAAGTGTTGAGATTACAGGTGTGAGCCACCGTGACCAGTGCAAATCTTTTTTTAGAGAAAAGTCAGAACAAATCTTGGATGTGACTCCACTCCCACTACAGGTTGTGTTCTAGTCTGATCATTTATTTCACTTTCCTGGGAAAGAGAGGGACAAATTTAATGGAAACCAAATGGCATAACCTAAAACAGTGTTGGGCTGTGGAGTAAGAAAGCTGTACTGAGTGGGCACCTTGTTTGGCAAGTTGTCACTCCTTAGTGATTGCCTGGAGTCAGCTCTTGTGCATGACAAAGGATTCCATAGGCAAGGTGGGTCTGGGTCCTGGTGGGGAGGTGGTGAACAGAGGAGGTTTGAAAATACAAATCAAACCGGGCTCGGTGGCTCAGCCTGTAATCCCGCGCCTTTGGGAGGCTGAGGCGAGTGGATTGCCTGAGCCTGCGGGTTCGAGACCCGCCTGGGCAGTGAGACCTCATCTCTACAATAAATCAAAAAATCAGCCAGGCGTGGTAGCGCATGCCTGTAATTCCGGCTACTTGGAAGACTGAGATGGAAGGATCCCCGGAGCCCAGCAGGTTGAGGCTTCAGTGGCCGGGAGTGGGAGCGGCCACTGCACTCCAGTCTGGGCGACAGAGTGAGACTCCAACTCAAAAAACAACAAAAAAAGAAAGTACAATTCAAGTGCAAAGTTGATACTTTCGTGTCTACCTTGCCCTTCTAATATAACTACATTAAACTGAAGAATGGGGTGGAAAGTGTATGGGAATTATCCATTATCTTGCCAACCTAAAAATAAATTGCAATTTGCATTTTCCTTTCTAGCCTCTGCATTTGTTTTTATGCAGTTGTAATTATAGTTGTGAATAATTGTTTCCTACTTTTTCACTTAATAAATTTTATTATAAAGTCCTTATCACTGTTAATGGTTACATTAAAAAGAAGGCTTATTTTAGAAAGTGACTTAATGCTACTCCATAGGGTTCCCAGGTGCTCTGTTCCAACCCAGGCCCAGTGCTTGGGATACTTGGAGTACCCCACATGTGTACACAGGTGCTCTGGACCCTCAGCCCCTATTGAGAATCTGCTGAGAAAGGTAGTCTTCCCAGAGAAAGTATGCATTTGTACACAGAAATGGCATACCACTCCAAAAGCCAAACATGGATGTATGGATCCTTAATAAAGAACCCCATCTAGATCTTGAAATGGACACTGCAATTTTAAAATTTAAATTAAGCTGGGTGTATATAACTATAATATTAGCAGTGTTATGTGTTTTTCATTTTATTATTTACTTTCCTTATTTTCCTTTTTTCCCTTTTCTTTATTTTTACAAAAAGATTTGGTTAGATTTTAAATCTTGGATCTAGTTGATAACATGTATCAATTTCTACTGCTATCTATGGAACTATCCCAAAACTTGGGCTTAACCCAGCAGTTCATTTCTCTGAACTCTAGGCTGACTGGGTGGTTTCTCTCTTGATCCTGTCTGGGCTCACTCTTGCAGCTGCATTCAGCTGGCAAGTTGACCAAGCGCTGGCAGGTCCTCTCTGTTTTCCGGTCTTTCATCCTGGCCTTCTTCAGGGCGTGGTGGTCTCAGGACAACATCTCAAGAGGGTAAAGGTAGAAGGCGTAGGGCCCTCGAGGGCCAGCCTTAGAGATTGTGTATGTCTGCCATTTCCACCACATTCTTGGTCAAAGCAAGTCTCAAAAGCAGCCCAGATCCAAGGAGTAGGAGCTAGAGTGCATCTCTCAGGGGGTTTTCCCTGGGAGGGATCTCTGGGCCTGTTTTGCAGTCTACCACAGTACCTAGCATGTTCTCAACCCAGGTGTGCTGATCCCTCAGGGAAAGATACTTTTGTTGTGGGAAACAAAGCTTCAATTTATCTTCTAATTAAATATGATATTTAAAGTTTTAAAAATAATTTTGAAGACTTGTGTAAGTTAAAGATCCTCCAAGAGGGCCACCATGGTGGTGCCTGTGTCACATTGGCCTGTTTTCCATCTCTTATTTGTACAGTACATGTATATTTGCATACTGGCCCCAGGGAGTACAGTGATTTGATGACCTCACCCTCTCTTCCCTTAGTATTCAGTGATTGAACCTTTGATCTTGGTTGTTGGAAGGTACAGGTGCTGAGAATGCTCAGGTTTGACACCCCTTTGGGTCATTGTCTTGAGGTAGTTTGCCAGCTACTCAACCTGGGCCATATGGATGTCCTGAGTCTATTTTGGTCCTCTTCAGTCAAGCATAAAATGGGGACAGTACTGAGAACAGAAGTGAAAGGGATACTATGTTGCCCACCCCTCTACTCTGCCCTCCATCATCCTCTGCAACACAAGAAATCCAGGGAGAGGTGAATTCAAGAAGAATAAGGTAGGAAAAAAACCTAACTTGTTCGATCTTTTTAAAAAAGGAAAATCATTCCAGATTTCATTCTGTTCAGCAAAACAGGTACTACAGTATATGCAATTTTAAGCCAGGTACTAAAAGGCTACAAGTTTCTTTTCTTATAATAAATGAAACCACTTATTTAAAAGACTGTTAGAACTATTGTAAGTCAACACGATTGGGGTGTTTGATTTAACTTCATTTCCTAGTTAACCTAGGATTGATTAATTTCTACAACTCCTAGGGTAAGAGTGTCTTTTCTTAGGAGTGAGGGACCTCACTTCTTTCTGGAAGCCTATCAGATGTATATCCAATTGCTCTTTTAATTAGATTTACTTTAAAATGCCATAGTTGGCTAATTATCTTAAGTATAAAACCAGACCCTCTGAGATACTGTCTATGCAATTCAAAAGGCTTCAGAAAAATCTTTTTAAAGATTATATAGGCAGAAATCTTCTAGAACATTGGAGAAATGGCTATCTAAAAATAACGTTTGACTGGAAACTGAAGCTGTTGATGGGTCTGACGAACAGTGTGGCATTTAGAATACATGTTAAAGTAATTAGAGTGAATTAATGTGAGGGTGCTTCTGCATCTTGTAACCAGCAGTGCAAGCTTAAGCAAAAGAATGACTCGGAGCCGGGCTCGGTGGCTCAGCCTGTAATCCCACGCCTTGGAAGGCTGAGGTGAGTGGATTGCCTGAGCCCACAGGTTCGAGACCCGCCTGGGCAACTTGGCGAGACCTCATCTCTACAATAAATAAAAAATCAGCCGGGTGTGGCAGCCCACACCTGTAATTCCGGCTACTCGGAATGCTGAGGCGGAAGGATTGCCAGAGCCCAGCAGTTGAGGTTGCGGTGACCGGGAGTGGCCACTGCACTCCAGTCTGAGCGACAGAGTGAGACTCCAACTCAAAAAAAAAAGAATGACTTGGTTTCATTTTCTCTCAGCCTAATATAATTCCGGTATGTTCCACCTGCCAAGGTAGAATTCTGAATGCTTCTGAAAGTATAACAGATTGGCACATAGATGGGTTAAAACTCATGTCCTTTCCTTTTTTTGCATTACCTACCTGTGCATTTCATCCGTTATATCTCAGGCCTCAGGGTTGTTCCCTAGACAGGGCATCTTTAGAAGCTGGAGGGTTTTTTTTTTTTTCCATATTTGCATATCTTCTCCAAGTTATTGTTGATTGGTAATATCAAACAATCAGCAATAGCTTTTCTTCCTCTGGTGTGTCTTCTTCCAGTGATATCTGTTCATTTGTTCACTTAGTCAACATTTTCTAACTATTTGTCACATAATAGTCAACATTTTCTAACTATTTGTCACATTTGGCAGCCGTGGGGTTTCTTGGTGAGTGGGATTCCATTCTTGCCCTCTGTGTGCCTGTGTGAGTGGACTCGTAGACGTGCGAGCAGCAGGCAGTGGGACAAGCAGGCTAAATAGACAGGTGGGCAGCCAGACTCAAGGGGCTAACAGAGAAGCTCTGAGGGGATACATGAAGCGGACTGGAGGCCACAGGCTTGGCTGGCCTCCAGGTAAGACGGCCTTAGAATGAGGTGGGGAGCAGGGCAGAGGGTGGGGGAGTTGGTGGCAGCTGACCAGATCCTGGCAGACTTTCAGTGCCATGTGAAGGAGCTTGGGTTTGCTTCTAGGCTTGGAAAGAGCAGCTCAAGGATTCTAAAGGAAAGAGAGGACAGATTTAAGAAGGTTGGAGTTGTGATTATTAGAAGTGATGAATACGGGAAGAAGAGTAGAAGCCAGTGGGTACCAGTACGTCATCCCTGCACACACACACACACACACACACACACACACACACACACACACGTACATACAGTTTTTTTGTTTTTTGTTTTTTTTGAGTTGGGATCTCACTCTGTCACCCATACTGGAATGCAGTTCATGATCATGACTCACTACAGCCTTGACTACGGGCATGTGCCACCATGCCTGGCTAATTTTTTGTTTTTTTTTTCCATAGAGAAAATCATATAAGGTCTTGCTTTGTAGCCCAGGCTGGTCTCGAACTCCTGGGCTCAAGCAATTATCCCACCTCGGCCTCCTGAGATGTTGGGATTATAGGCATGAGCCACCATGCCTGGCTAGAGGTACAGTTAACCTTTGAAAAACAGGTTTGAACTGCACAGGTCTGCTTATATGCAGATTTTTTTCAACCAAATGTGGAATTTGAGGGATGCTAAATTACAGAAGGCTAGCTTTTTGCAGTCATAGGTTTTATAAACCCACTGCAGGACTTGAGTATGCTTGGAATTTAGTATGTGTGGGCTTCTAAGCTTGCTATCTAGTGCGTTAACTGTTCTTATGGAAGGCAGAAAAAGACTACATATTAAATCAACCCCCTGTGTATACTGAGGGATGACTGTAATTGGAAATTACTTAGGGATAATTGGAAATATTGGTCCAGAGTCTAGAAGAGAGGGTTTAGGGCTTATGTTTAGGTTTGAGGGACCTGAAAAGTATATGTGTTATTTAGAAGCCATAAAGGAGAAAGAAGCTATTGGGAGAAGTGGGTCCTGGGCAGAGCTTCGGGATCTATCTACAGGAAAGTAGCTAGTGGAGAAGGCAGATGGAGCAGAGAGGCTGGAAGAAGTCCCAGAAGATGCAGGGAAAAGGCAGGCAGGTGGGGAGGTGGTGAAGATGGAGGGTGTTAAGCAGTTTCAGAGGGGTTGATCAGGATTGATCTCTTCCTTCTATACAGTCACCTTGTCACCTTTGTTTGCTAGTCATTTATATCATGTATGATTTCAGAAATTTTATTTTACCTGAAGCCTTCAGACCAGCAACTCTTGGGTTTAGATCCATAGTTCTCCACCTTCTCTGCACATCAGCATCACCAGGGTTACTTTGGAAGAGTACTGATGCTTGGGCCACTTTTAGAGTGTGCTTTCTTGAGTACCTCCCCAGAAATTGTGATTTAATTGGTCTGGGGTTGGCAACTCTGCCCAGGTAGTTCCAATGTGCAGCCAAGTATTTCTACTGGTGCAAATGTTTGCAGGTCTACTTTTCTGACTTCTGCCCTCGGTGTCTTTGCTGCCTGCCATGATTGCTTCAGGGATCGCTAAGCTCGCTATCCAGGGTGTAAAATGTGTTCTCATGGAAAGCAAAAGAAGACTGTATATTAACTCCTATAATCTTGTGTTAATAGGTAGTATGGTATGTTAGTTATTCAAGTGGCCTGGGTAATAGAAAGTTTGTGGTATACCATAGGTAGATAATGAATTTTCTAATAATAATGTCCTTAAATGTTAAAGCTACACATTATTGTTATTTTGATGGCTAAAAAGTCCTTTTAATTTTGTAGCTTTGTTAATTTCTTGGATTGTTTTGTGCTGTAGATGTATGGAAATTTCCACTCCCAGTGTTGTTGACAGAGTGTGGACGTGGGTCAGATGGCAGGCTGTGTGGCCCCTGGCCAGATGCATCATGATTGCCTTGATCCTGTGCTTTTCTTCTATGTGACTGTTGTTTTTAAGTCCTGGAAAGAACAGGCAGTCTAGAGATGCTGCAGCAGCACTGAAAGGGGAAACTTGATCACAGAGCACTTAATCTGGTATTAGGGCTGTGTCAGAGAGGTAATGGTGGTGTTGAGGATTTCATTGACAGGTGCTCTTTATTATGGAGGTGACTCTTCTGCCTGTGGGTGAGTGTGAGGGACTTGTGGGGCATGTGCACTAACAGCTATTACTGTTTGCTGTGAACCAGGCTGCTAGAGCTGCCGAGGGAGAGAGCAGACAGAAGTTCTTCACCCAGGATATTAATGGGATCCTATTAGAGTGAGTATCATTTGTTTTTTTGTTTGTCTGTGTCTGCTATTACTGTGCCTGGGTTGACTGGCCAGGGGAGAATGGGAATACAATTGAACTACATATAGGTGACCACCAGTGAGATAAAAGAACTGGATTACTGTGGTTTTATTGCTGGTCTAGTAAAAAAGAAAACAAAACAGGGACACTAAATCTTTGTCTCCAGAAATGGTAGACCTTCCTAATCTGAGGCAGCTGTGTGGGATAGTCATGGCCTGTTGGAAGAGGATTTCTTGGCAAGTGTGAAATGAGAAGAGAGAGAAGGTGCTGCTTCCCTGTCTCTCAGGATCCGGAACAAGAGACAGCATGGCGGTCTCAAGGCCTGCTCCGTGCCAGCTGTTCCTTGGCACCCTGTGACTCTCCTCTCACCCTCCCTTCTGCTCCTGGTACTCGCACACACACACCATCCGGCAACACCTCTCCTGGACCTCGGAGCCTCTGAGCCGTAGTACTTGGATTAAAAGGCCAAAAACTCAACATCAAAATCTCAGCCAGGAAACGAATCTTGGGTCTGGCCCCCAGGGTTGCAGCTCTCGGCTTGGTGGCATGATGTAGCCAGCAAAGCTTGTGGCTCAGCAGCTGAGGAGTTTGAGTATGTGAGAACAGCTGTCAAGACTTGAGCATGTTCTAACAAATGACCTTGCCTGGCCAGGGCCTGGATCGGCCTCTTTGGTAAGGAAGCATGGGCTGCAGAGAGTACCAGAGCCATGGTGTGGACAAGAGGTTTGTGTCAACAAGGAGCCTGTCTGAGCCATACACAGAAAGCTTGAGGAATTAAGAAGAAACATCTTTTTGCTTATCTAGATGGGGAAGCTAGAGGGGGAGGATTTCACTGACCTCATAATCGTGGATAGGACTGGGAATTGGAAAGAGAAGAAATGTTGCCAGAAAGTATTTCCTGCCAACCCCAAGGAATTCATTACTTTCTACTTGGAAAGCTGTGTGTTTTCCTTGTTCATGAAATTTAGAGCTTCAGAGCTTGTTCTCTTGGTCACTGTTTTCTTGACTACCTTTGACTTGGTCTTGTATTTGACCTGAGAGCCTTGACCCACTTTACCTAGCCAAGTTAATCGGGTTTAAAAGTTGTCCTTATTTGTTGACTGCTGAAAATCTGTTGTGTTGGTCACTCAGTCTCATTGTCTGCCCACAAGATAAGGTTTGCCTTACGTTTGGCTCCTAACTTAACTCTCCATGTAGGGTGCTCTGATGAAGAGAGAAGTTGCAGTGCACTGCAGCTGTTGATGACTCTGTTCTCTTCTTCAGCATAGAGGTGCAGGCTCGGGAACTGAGTAGCCAAGCCCGTTCTGGAGTCTATGCCTACCTTGCCTCATTCCTGCCCTGCAGCAAGGATGCTCTGGTCAAACGTGCTCGAAAACTTCACTACTGTGAGCAGGTGGGTTGACTTCGGCGTGGAGCCCCTTGCTTTTGGGGCCTAACTGAGGAGTGATGAATCTTACAGGTGCCACATCTACTGTGGCACTGCCTCCTTTTGATGATCCCTGCCATGCATCCTTAGTGTTAGAATGATGTGTAAACCAGACTTGTATTGTGTCCTGCTCTCAGCAGGGGGGCCGTCTGAAGGAGCCACTCCAGAAACTCAAGGAAGCCATTGGCAGGGCGATGCCAGAGCAGATGGCCAAGTACCAGGATGAATGCCAGGCACACACACAGGCAAAGGTGGCTAAGTAAGTGTGTCTTCGTGTTTTTGCATGGCATGGTCCACCTATCTCTCCTCCTCCTGTTTTACAGTATTTCCTTACATTTCCAAAGGAGGCTCTTGCCTCTTCTACATTTTCACCTTCTCATCTTGGAAGTCCCAGTTATTCTGGGGGTGAGGGGAGAGGTGGGGGCAGGAGAACCTCAGGGTCTCATTTAATTTTGTTCACTTCATAGGATGCTGGAAGAGGAGAAAGACAAGGAGCAGAGAGAACGGATTTGTTCTGACGAGGAGGAAGATGAAGAAAAGGGAGGCAGGAGGATAATGGGACCCCGGAAGAAATTCCAGTGGAATGATGAAATCAGGTGTGCCCAAACTGGGACATTGCCTCATTGGAGGATTTGTGGGGCCAGTATCTGAGCATGTCCCCATATTGCTAATGAAGGGCTGCTGGAAGTACATGATTGAAACCTTGAAGAGGCATTGGGGTGGTTTGAGGGTCCTGATTTCTGCTTCCTCCTCAGGGAGCTGCTCTGCCAGGTAGTGAAGATCAAACTGGAGAGCCAGGACCTGGAGAGGAGCAGCAAGGCCCAGGCCTGGGAAGACTGTGTGAAGGCCTTTCTGGACTCCGAGGTCAAGCCTCTCTGGCCCAAGGGCTGGATGCAGGCCAGGTGAGGGCCAGAGTGATGACATGGGGGGTTTGTGCAGTCAAGAAGTACTTGAAGAGCATTGCTTTTGTACCAGGCCAGCTGGGTACCTGCCCTCAGGGAGTCACTGTCTAGTTGACTCAACTCTGATCTCTCCTGAGAAATGGGGGGCCTGCTAGTAGGTAGGAAAGGGCCGTCTTTGTCTTCCCTAGAAAAGGGAAGTGACGTTTTGGGTTTCATCCTGCTTCAGTTCAGGATTGACTGCATACTGTTCTCATCTCCATGTGCACTTCCTGTTTTGATATGATGGCGCCTACTAGAAGTTGGGTGATGAATTCATCTGGGATGCTTCCTAACGAACCTAAAGAAGTCTCATGTACGGGAAGCAGGGCTGACTCCTTACGGGAACCAAGAGCCAGGCTTATGTTTCAGAGGCTGCTTTGTGGGCACCGCTTCCCACAAATGGAGTACCTCTGTTGTACACAGGACAGGGAAAGTTAGCTGGAACTGGTTTTCTTGATTGGGCCGGATACATCTGTTGTTTAGACAAGTCGTGGTGCTAAGTGCCACAGCCTTTTGAGAAACATTGCTGTGAGTTTTTCTTGGTAAAGTTCAGGCTCTTGTCTTTTGGGCAGCTGGTGTGGCTGCTTTAGGTCCTTTACCATGAATTCAGTTGAGCATCGACTGACCTTTTGTGAAGGATAGCCACTGAGTACCTGGGACACCAGCGCTCCGGAAGCAGGGCCTGGCATTCTGGGGCATGTGCCAATACCCAGCATTCTGTGTCTTTTAGGACTCTATTCAAGGAGAGCAGACGAGGCCATGGGCACCTGACGTCAATCCTGTGAGTGTCTTGGTGTTCTCACTTCTCTGGACTACTGTTGTTTTTACCTCCTTCTGTGAATATCCTCTAAATCTTTTCTGTGCTCATTCTTCCTAACAGGGCCAAGAAGAAAGTAATGGCTCCTTCTAAAATCAAGGTGAAGGTGAGTCATCCTGCTCAGGTCATTTGTTACCTCATCTCCCTGCAGTTGTGCTCTGGAAGCCTCTCAAGTGAATGTGGCAGCTCACTGAGCTGTGCTGGTATGGGGACAGCTATTCAGGATGACACTCTTGAAGTTGTACCAGGGCAGAGACTTGAGCAGGGCCACTTAACCCTGTCAAGCCTCGGTTCTACAAAATAGCACATAGCTGACCCAGTTACTGGGATTGTTGTGGGATTAAGTGGGGTCTTTTTGGCAGCTGAGGAGTGAATAGCCGCTGTTGGTGCGAATGTATTTCTGTGATGATGGTCTTCTCATGAAGAAGTACATACTTAGCCCAGTGCAGTTTTGCCTGGAGCAACAGCAGAAAGGCACTGTGGCTTTGTGAGCTCCCTGGCAGAAGTGGAGGCCAGTACAGTGGCTGGAGAATAAAAACTGCGAACACTGAGATGTTGCAGAAAGCTTTCAGTGTCAAGTTGCTGTTTACCAAAAATGTTTACCAGTTCTTAAAGCTTTGCTTCGTGCTCTTCAACCACACCTGAACAGACCATGAGAATAAGAAGTGCGACTTATTTGTTCCTAAGTATCTGCTGAGCTCTTACAGTGTCTCTAGTGCGCTGTACTAAGCAGCAGGGATGCAGGAGTGACAGGTTACACCCTATTCCTGCTTCCAAGAAATGAACTTTTCTTTGATCCCAGACTGACTTTGCTGGGAAAAAGCAAGGAGGAAAAAGTAGCTATTTTAAGGCAGTTCATCAGTCTGATTGCAGCAAGGAATGCTATGAGATAGTGTGCATGCCAATAGGCAGAGGGTCTCTTTGTGCAAGTCTTACACTTTTTCAGAAACAGGTTCCCCTATGGACGTATTTGTACTTAGCAGCAAGGCATGCTGAGGTAAACTCAGCCCTGGCCAGTCAGACATTATTAGAGGGTGTTTGAGTTGTAGCATTTAAACAGTTTTTAAAATTTTTATAGAGATGGGATCTTGTTATGTTGCCCAGGCTAGTCTCAAACTCCTGGGCTCCCACTATCCTCTCACCTCGGCCTCCCAAAGTGCTGGGATTACAGGCATGATCCACCATGCCTGGCCGATTTACAGCATTAAAGTCAAGTCAGGCACGGCTCCTGCTCTTCAGCATCTTGTTTCGTGATTAAACAGGAAGGCCCAGTTCTTTGCACCTTGAGTTGTTCTCATGCTTATGTCTTCACAGTGGGCCGAAATTGGTGTCTTCGGACATTTCTAAACATCAGCATTTCTGCTTTCCTTTAGGAATTGTCTACAAAACCTGATAAAAAGGTTTCTGTCCCATCAGGACAGATTGGTGGCCCCATTGCTTTGCCCTCAGAACACCAGGGAGGAGGCCTGAGCACTGGGGCTGCAAGCAGGGAGCCCCCATCCCAGGCGTTGAGTGGCCTGGCTAACCCTGTGCCTGTCAGCCTGGAGGACTCAATGGATGAAGATTTGATCTGCAATTCAGCCTCCTCAGTAGAAGCTGTGTCCAAGGAACTGACTGCACTGAATAGCAGAGCATCTGGGAGCTCTGAATTCATACTGCCTGCACCCTCAAAAGCACCTGCAGAGAAAGTTCCAGGTGTTTCATGTACAGAAGAAAAAAGGAACCTTGTGAAGCCCAACCCTTCTGCTCCACCACCAGCTAGCTCTCTGCAGTCCCCCCTAAATTTTCTGGCTGAACAGGCTCTGGCACTGGGGCAGTCCTCTCAGGAAAAAAAACCAGAGAGTTCTGGCTACAAAGAGCTGTCCTGCCAGGCTCCCCTCAGCAAGGGCCTGCCAGAGGTGCACCAGCTCAAAGCAAAGCACCACAGTTTGCCACGGACATCTCACGGACCCCAGGTGGTGGCTCCTGTGCCTGGCCCCCAGGTCAAAGTTTTTCATGCTGGCACTCAGCAACAGAAAAGCTTCCCACCCCCAGCTCCATTTGCCAATAAGCTCCAAGGCCCAAAGGCTTCCCCCCCACAGTGTCATCGTTCCCTCTTGCAACTTGTGAAGACAGCGGCCAAAGGCCAGGGCTTCCACCCCTCCACACCAGCCTCCTCAGGCCTGCCAGCCCCCAGCGGCAGCTCTCATAAGACCCCAGCCCCGTCTTCTACTGTCCTGAGCCATCCAGCAAAACAGCATTCGGTCAGCTCTGCAGGGTCATCTTATAAGAATAATCCCTTTGCAAGCTCCATCTCCAAACATGGCGTTTCCTCCGGCAGCTCTTCCTCTGGAGTAACACCGGTCCAGAGTGCTACTTCTGGGAACCTGCTCCCTGGCATACAGCCTCCCTCCACAGGACAGTCTACCAGCCGACCCATCCCAAGCTCAGCAGTGAAAAAACCGCCTGTTTCCCAGAAGCTGACCCTGGTGGCCCCACCAGGTGGTCCAAATGGAGATTCTGGTGGAGGGACCCAGGGAGTGGCAAAGTTACTGACCTCGTCCTTAAAGCCTCCTGTGGTTAGTAGTGTGACATCGTCTACCTCCTTGCCAGTGAGTATCCCTGCATAGCAGCCTGCTCTGTCCCACTCACAGGGGCCTTGGGGACAAGGCTACTTGCCTTGCTCTGGACAGAGAATGAGATCTGAAACTGAAGGTCAGGTAGGAACAGCTTAGATGCTGGAAAGAGGGGGCTTCCTGCCCTCGTGTGTTCCTCTTTCTGGAGGTGGGAAGCCTAGGATGGTTAGCCTGAACTCCTTAGGATGGCATAGGAGCGAGTGAAAGGATCATGTGCCCCAACCCTCTAGGGAGGAGCAGGTTCTGTGGTGAGATCATGCCTTCGATGACCTCTTCCCTGGCCATCTCTCCAAACAAGGGAATGGAAGTACTACAACCTGTCAGGCCATAGTTCTGTGGAGGTGTTCATACCCCAGTACCTCCTAGGAGTGATTCTGTTGGTTTTTGGAGGACAGAGTCCAACAATTGATGTGTTCTGCTTGTGGGTAATTCCAAGAAATTTTAGACACAGGTTGGGGAAATGGGAGAGCATTTTTTCTTTTTCCAGTATATAAAGCAACTATGCGGTTGCAAAGACAGAACTATAGAGAAGTCTGTTCAGAAAGGTCTCACTTCCCTCTTCCTGTACCCATCACCCTGTGAGGCAGCTGCTCATGTATGGGTTTTTTTTTCCTTCTTTTGAGTCAGAGTCACTCTGTTACCCAGGCTGGAGTGTAGTGGCACACTTGTGGCCACTGGAGCCTTGATCTGCTGGGCTCAGGTGATCTTTCTGCCTCATCCTTCCAAGTAGCTGTAACTACAGGCATGTGCCACCATGCTCAGCTAATTTTTCTTGATTTATTGTAGAGATGAGGCCTTGCCAAGTTGCCCAGGCTGGTCTTGAACCCATGGGCTCAGGCAACCCTCTCACCTCAGCCTCTCCTCATATACGTTTGTGTGTGTGAATATCTGTATGGTGATATTCTCCCCTTTCTTCACAAAGGAGGCATAGTTAATATCCTGCTTTTTAAAATGAACTCTGTGCACTGTAAACCACTTCATGTCAGTTCCTAGAGCCTGTTCTCATTCCTGTCTTAGAAGTTGCAGAGTAGGAGGTTGCTTTCCCGGGGGCATCTAGCCCTTCTCCCTCATGTCCCCAGGTTTGGTTTGTGGTTAGCTATAAGTAGGACTAGCTAGCTTCTTACCATGTTGCTGTGTTTCCTCCCCAGAAAGGAACCAGTGGGGCTGTGCTGCTGACCAACTCCTCTCCCTTAAACCTGCTGCCTTCATCCTACAAGTCCAGCAGCCCAAAGCTGCCTGGGGCCATGAACTCAAACTCTCTGGGCATCATAGCCCCTGTCCCAATTCCTCTCCACGTACTCTCCTTCAGCGCCGACTCCTCTGCCAAAGCAGGGGTATCCAAGGACGCCATTGTCACAGGCCCTGCTCCTGGGCCTTTCCACCCTGGCCTCGGCCACAGTAAGTGCTGCTTTCCCACCTCTTGTCACTTGGGGACCTCTGGGCTGTGACTGAGGGTCCTTCTGTTGTCATGTACTCTGGCTCCTGTGTTTGTGTCTGGTGTGTGACCGTGGGGAACCCTGCTGAGCCCCCTCCCCTTTGGGGTTGGTACCAGACTGGCAGGTTGTCTGGGCCTCTGGACTGCTGGAGCTACTTTTTCGTTCCTGTCTTGAATGTGTGTGTTTTGTTCTTTCTCCCTTCCTTGTTTTCTCTCAGGTCTTCTGGCTGGCTTGCACTCCAGCCCGCCCCACGCAGCGCCTCTCCCACACGCTGCTGTGCCCACCCATATCCCGCAGAGTCTGCCAGGTAATCGCCAGTCCATCGGTGTGCCACGCGCACTGTCGCTTGCCCCCTCCACCCTTAGATGCTTTGCTGCCGAGGGTTTCAGTGTCTCTGCCTTGTCACTGTATCGTCGTCTTGGTTTGTCCTTTGAGGCTCTGCTGTTCTCAGGGTGACTCAGGCGCCTACCTGTGGAGGCCTCCTCTGGCTCCCACTTGGAGCTGCTGCTGGTTCAGCCTTAGCCTGGGTGGTCGCAGGGAAAGTCTGGGGACCTGCATGGGGGGCAGAGGCGCTCCTAACCCCCAGCTCAGTTTTCCTCTTTGATTGAATAAAGGAAGAGTTAGTAAGGCCTAGCAAGGCCTTTATATTCAAGTACTACACCTTCTGGGTGCTCTTGGTTCCCAGAAGGCTCTCTGAGCTTTCTTTCTATAAAAGGGAAGATCCAAATAGCAGCGAGAGGCCACAGTGAAGATTTTTGGAAGGACAGTTATCTCTGGATGGTGGCATGGTCCAAGAGAGGAGTAAAAACCACATTGAAATAGACTTGGGCCAGGTACAGTGGCTCAAGTCTGTAATCCCAGCACTTTGGGAGGCCAAGGTGAGAGGATTGCCTGAGCCCAGGGTTCAAGACCAGCCTGGACAACTTGGTGAGACTTTGTCTCTACAATACATAAAAAGGTTAGCTGGGCATGGAAGTGCTCACCTGTAGTTTCAGCTACTTGGCAGGCTGAGGTGGAAAGATCACCTGAGCCCAGCAGGTTGAGGCTGCGGTGGCCATGAGCGTGCCACTGTACTCCATCCAGCCTGGGTGACAGAATGAGACCCCAACCCCAAAAAAAAAAGAGAGACTTGGGAGCACTCCACACCTGGGGTGGCATTCCCCCAGAACAGGCTTTCTGAAATGGAACCTCTGAAAGCCACACGTGTGTGGCTGGTTTGGTAGCACCTGAGAAGAGGGCCCAGGTACCCTGTGCTCATGGAATGGATTTGCCCTGCCCTGATCAGAGTCCTTAGTCGTGGGCACACCTCATAGAATTCTGGTGCAGGAACCCACCTGGTGTCTTGGTTTTGATCTAGTAATCCTCTTGCTACTCTGGCCCTCTCCAAACAGCCAGGGGGCTGTGCTGGGAAGGAGAAAGCCCCCCCGCCCCCCAAGGGAGCCCAGCCCAGGGTGGGCCAGGGCTGGAAGTGGGTAAGACTAGGACCCCCGGGTGCATGTGCCATGTCCTGCTGCACGGAGAGCGATGACCCATCGTCTCCCAAGTCTGAGTCTGCCTCCTGATTTGCTGTGGTTCCCTGGCACTCATGTTCTGAGGCTGAAGCATTTATGGTGAATGCTGGATTTGTGAATTTCCAGAGTGGAGATTTTACTTCTAGGGGCTAAGCCTGTAACAATAGTGAACTCCTTTTTTTCCTCTGAGAAGCAGTAAATTATAGTGGACTTACTAAATAAACTGGTGGCTGCTGCTGGAATCAGGAGTATAATGTGGAAGGCTTGAGAGCTGCCTCAGCGAGAGCTAGTGTCTCCGGAAGGTCAGATGGTTCTGCTTCCACTTGCTTTCAGGAGTGCTACCTTTCAGAAAAGCAAAATGGTTGAAGGGCTGCTCTGTCGTATTTTCAGCAAAAAGATTGTTTTCTGGTATCATTTTCGTTTTTCCTCTGGGTATTAAAAGGCTGTCAGAAGAGGAGGAATAAGTTCTAGTGTTTTGTACCACTGTAGGATGAGTGTAGTTAACAATTATGTGTAGTTTCAAATAGCTGGGAGGACACTGGAAGTTCCCAACACAGATGATAGTGTTTGAGATGATGGCTATGCTAATCATCCTGATCTGATCACTGTACATTATATGTATTAAAACATCACTGTGTACCCTATAAATATGTCCAATTATTATGTGTCCATTAACATTTTTTTAAAAGGCTGTCAGAGGCTAGGTGCAATGGCATGTGCCTGCAGTCCCAGCCACTCAGGAGGTGGAAGGATTGCTGGAGGCTGTAGTAGGCTGTGGTCATGCCTGTGAATAGGTGCTCCAGCATGGGCTATAACATAGTGAGACCTTGTCTTTAAACAAAATAAATAAGCAAAAAATAAATTTAACAGTTCAGAAATGAAAAGTGCAATCAGGAAAGCAAGTATGCCAAAACAGGTTACCCGAGTGAGTTTTTCTCCTCATCCTTAGCTGTATTCAGGTGTAGGCTAACAGCATGGCGAGGGTGTGAGAAGCGTCTGCTTCTTACCTGTGTGACTTGTGTCTGCGTTCTTTCCTTTCTTATGTGGACTGAGAATGCTAGTGCCTTTGAACTTGTCTTTACTGGACCTGTGGGGCTTTTGATAGTAAGAGAGTGTGGTCTTGCTGCCATGAGTTCCATGTGATCGTCAGGCCTTGCCACAGGATGGCCGGTATAGCCTGAGACTTAGGGGTCCCAGCTGCACAGCTGCTGTTCTGTGAACAGTGTCCGTAGTGGCCGCCTGCCTTCACAGTGCCAGTGTCCGTGCATGCTGCAGGCTATTATGTGTGTGTGCACACAGATGATCACTATCAAGTACTTGTGGCTTGTTTGAACCCTAGAACAGTCTACATTTGAGGACTTTTGCTCATTTAATAAGTGATTACCTTGAAGTTTGGTTACTACTGCCTTAAGGGAATCAGATATTCTGAAAGACCTGTGTTCTGATTTTCTTATTCTTTTCCAGATGCTTCTCAGCTTCACGGGAAAGGACCTGGGGTACCACGGAAATTGTGACCACTTCAAGGAAAGGCTTGACAAATTTGGGTCTGGGTGGAAGCCAAATGTGTGGGTCTCAGATCATGGATATTCACTGCGTTCTTTCTACCGACTGGTTTTCTTCTGGAGAAGGTGTGAGTTCTAAGTGGAGTGCCTCTTGGTACTTCTAATATGCCTCCAAGTAAGGCAGCCAGCCTGCACTGCTTGGGAGGCGCTACTGACCTGGAGCTCTGGGCCTGCGGCTTTGTTGCTGGATGGTTGCTGGAGGGGCAGCTCGAGGCTGGGGTATATGCTGGGCTGCAGCGGCAAGCACAGTGTGTAAGCGTTCTGGTGGCAGATCAGTCGGCACAACCACATTTTAAATCTGCCTGAGCCCTGGCATTTGGTCAGAGTACCCACCCCACAGCACCCTACTGGTCAGGGGCTCCTTCTGGCCACATAAGACCCTATCTTCAGGCTGTGTGCTCAAGAGGACAAAACCCAGGCCAAAGCCACAGCTGGGAGACCTCCCTTGTCTCTGCAAAGTACCAAGAACACCTAATGAGTGCTTACTGTGGGAGCCAGTTTCGCCTCTGAACACAACAGTGAAGCTCTTCTAGAGAAAAGACCGTAGTAGGTTCCACAATGGTGATAGGATTGTTAAAGACACCTATTTTGGGCTCAGTTTTCTTCATGACCATTACATGCATTGGATAGAATGAGACTGTTCTTCACACGTCATGTCTAGGAAGACGTAATTCCAGTGCCTTTCTGGTGGAGCAGCATTCAACAACCATGTCCATTCAGCCCTGAGTGGATCTGAGATGAAGACCTTTTTAAAGATGTGTCTATTTAAGACATAGCCAGTTTTAGTTGAGTTTTTTACAGTTGCACATCATCATCTGTGCCGTCCTGACTTGAAGGTCATCTGGGCCCCCCCCATCCCAGGTCCCAGTGTAACCAGGCTCCTGTCTTGTTTGTCCAGCATTTACGCAGTTGGACTGCAGAGCCCCAAGCCATTCCTCTGTCTGGGGGCCGAGGGTATGAGGTCCTGAGTCACAGATAGACATTCCAGTTTGTCTTACTACAAATCATTCTTTGCCAGTCCTGCAGGCACAGGCTCTGTGAAGTGTCTGCCATGAAACAGGCCTTGAACTGCTGGGGCTCTCCAGGCTGTGGGGCTGTGTTGAGTGAAGGATGGTGGGCAGAGGAGCTTGGAGAGTGAATGAGACAGACTAGGACAGCTGTTGCAGAGCTCTGAGGTCACCAGCCTGGTCACACTCAACCAGTGACTATTTCACAAGGACTTCGAGGGCCCTTGCCTGTCCTGTGAAGTCTGTGCCTCAAGGTGGGTCTGAACTGGCCACTCCAGCTGAGTGATTCCAGACGTGTTGGGAGTATGCAGCATCTTTGCTCCGCATGTACACCTGTGTGGAAACACGGACCACTCTTTTGGTTCCTGATTCCCGGGATGTACTGCTTCATAACTCGTAATTAGTGTAGAGGTTTCTGGTCTTCCCGGGTTTCTGAGGAACAAGACCTGTCAGCTATTTGGCCTGGCCTCTGCTCTGACTCCTTTTTTATGTAAGAACCAATCTGTATTTCACACTGGGGTAAGTGGATTCCTTATCCCTTTATCATATATATTTTTTGCAACTTGGGTTTCCAGTTTGTTTACAGAATAGTCTTAAGTAGTAGCAAAAGAGCCAAAGAAGAGATTTGTATTGCTGAGCTCAAAGCCAAGCAGTGGCTGCCAGTAAAGGCTGAGCAGTGGGAATTCTCCAGGTTTCTCTGCCCATGAGCATCCGGCTACCAGCCCCAACCCTTCCTTCCTTTCCCCTCAGTGCCCCCTCTTCCCCGTGTCCACTGAGTGTGCAGCGGGAGCAGAATACCCTCATTTTTAGGAATCTAGTGATGCCTCTTGCCTCAGGGAAATGTTTCTTCGATGGGGAGCTTGAGATTTCTTTTTCTTGTTTATGCTTTATTTGTGGTCACGAAAGAGTGAATGACTTAAACAGCCATGGCAAGGCACATCTACAGGCCCGGCTGCAGTGGAAGGTGGGGCGAGCGGCCTGGGGGCTGGGGGCTGCATGGGTTTCCTTGGCAGCAAGAGTCTCTGAGCACTTACCGAGCATGGCCGTTTCTTGAGTGTGAAAGGGGCTGTGGCTTTTGTGCAGCGACGGTGTTGGGGGTGGTGTGGAGATTGTTAATCTTGTATAAAGCACTTAATAAATTGTTTCAAGGTTTCCAGAACATTTTTCTCACTCTTTTTTTCCTACCACATTTGCAAATAATTTTCCTGTGGGAGCAGGTATATATGGAATGTCCATTTTGGCTGAAAGCCAAGAGGGAGTAGGGAAAATAAGCCTCGCACACAAGAGAGGAAGAAACGCACGTGCCATGACATGAGAATCCAGCCACCAGGTTTTATTTTCATGCTATAAATAAAGTTCCCTCTTCCCATTCTCTTATGTAATACATGAGATACAGAGAACCAGAAATTCGCTTGGTGAATATTCAACTGTTCTGTATACCTGAATACTAATGAGATAGCTAAGCAAGACTTGTAAGGCACTGAAACTAAGGCGAACAGCAATACAAACCCCCATTAAAGTGTTTTCATTTCAGAATCGTAGAATATTCTTTGTTGGTGTGTTTTCCTCGGCCGATCTGGCTGACAGCTAACGTCCACTTCAGCGCCAAGGGCCAAGACGCCTTTTCTGGCACAGGACCCAAGTCTGTTTCATGAGCAGAATGACACCGAGGAGGCTCTGGGTGGAAAGTTGATCTGTAGCCAGAAACCCAAAGGGGCAGGATGCAGGGCACTAGACCAGGCCTTTGATGAGTGGAAGGTGGGTGGGGTGGAAAGGAGGTCTTTCTAGGGCAGAGTATCCCCGCCTGGTGTGTCTGCTGTGGTCGTCTTGTGCTTTTATCGTTTTGAGAGTGTATAGGAAAAGGGAGAAAAAAAGAAGGGTGCTGTGGCTGTCAGATCATCTCAGGACAAAGCAGGTCATTCACCTGGCATGACCGATGGCTGGGACGAGAGCTGCCTGTCTCCAGCCTACATCCGTGGGTTGTGCTCTGAAGAACCTGGCAGCAGGGTGTGGATAAAGTGTTGGGCCTGCACAAGGGCCAGGGAGAAGATGACACTCAGGAGGTCACTGTAGGAAAGGGCCAGCCGTCTGCCTAAGAGGTGGTAGAAGGGCTGTAGCTACTTCTGTCCAGACACCAAAACCGCCAGCTCCTGGATGGACATGTCCTTGTTGACGTAGCGGTCATACTGGGCAGGGGTCAGCCTGCCGCTCTGCAGGGCCTCTTCAATGGAGAACTTCTTGCCAGACTTCCTGTCGTGGATCACTGAGGACTCCCCGTTGGGACCCTTTACTGAGATCTCCTCCCAGTCACACTCCTGGCTTCTGAGTTTTACAAACATGTTCCAGTCGATGAGCCCAGTGCGGTGGGCTTCCTCCGGGGACAGCTCACGGCCCGTGTCAGGGTCAATGACGACAATGGAGCGCCGCAGGTGGTTCTCCCTCTGTTCCCTCTTGACACCAACAGAGCCCAGGCGTTTCTGCAGCTCATCAATCTCGAGGTCTTTGTCCTTGGAGAGCCTCTTGAGGTCATCCAGTTCTCTCTCCAGAGACCACAGTCTGGAGTCCAGGTTAGGCCCAGAGTCCACTGTGGCCATGCTCTGCAGGTCTCGCGATTCCGTCACTGCCAGCTCAATTTCTGACTGGAGCCTTCGGGTCTCCAACTGCAGGTTCTGCCGCTCCAGCTGCAGCTTGTGGTTTTCTTCCCTTAGGAAGTCCAGTTCCTTGGATGACTTGGAGTTGTGGAACTCCAGCTCGGACAGCCTGGCCTCCAGCCGGTTCACCTCAGCATCCAGCTCTCTCTTGCTCCGGCGCTCCATCTCCAGGCTACTCTTGAGCTTCTGGATCTCCTGCTCCGTGTCACCCTTCTCCACCTGGACGCTCTCAGAGAAGACCACCTTCTCCTTGACCTCCGCCTTTTCCAGGGCAGCCAACTTCCGCCTCATGGTCTCGAGCTCGCCCTCCAAGAGCTGCCGCCGGTGCTGCTCCTCTTCCAGCTGGAGCCTGAGCAAGGCATGCTCCCGGGCCTGCTGAGGGTCCTGCTGCAGGACCACCTTCTGCTTGCGGGTCACCTTCTCGTGCGCCTCTGCTTCCTCCTGCTCCAGCGCAGCCAGCCGCTGCTGCAGCCGCTGCACCTCGCGCTCGGCCTCCCGGCGTGCATGCCGCTCACGCTCCAGCTCCTCTAGCTGCCGTTCCAGCTCAGTGCGCCGGCGCTGCAGCCGCCGCAGCTCCACACGCAGTTTATCTATCTGCCGCAGCTCCGCGTCAATGCTCTCTGTGAAGGTGCTCACCTCGGCCCGTAGGCCCGGCTCCTCCTCGTACTGGACCACCTCCTGTTGCACCACACGCTCCTTCACCTGTGAGAGCTCCTCCTCCTTGTGCGCGATCCGCTCCACCTGGGAAGCCCGCTCGCGCTCCAGGTCCACCTGCCTCTTCTGCTCCTCCAACAGCTTCGCCCTCAGGGCCTCCACCTCCTCTTTGGTTTGGGGGTCTTCCCGGAACTGGAGGATCTCCTGCACCACCTCTTTGGTCTGGACCTGGGGCTTGCTGTCCTTCAGGGCCTGGATTTCCTGCTTCAACTGGTAGATCTCCAGGTCACACCTCTCAATCAGCCGGGTCTTGTCCACGATCTCCTCCCGGAGCCGCTGCAGCTCCTTCTCCATCTCAGGGTCGGTCTTATACTTGATGACCTCCTTGGTCACCTCCTTGACCTCCACCTGAGGGCCCCGCCGGCGCAGGGCCTCCAGCTCACTCTGGTAGCTCTTGAGCTGCTCCTCGGCGGCCCGGTACTTGCGCTCCTGCTCCACGAGCTCCAGGCGGAGGTTGGCCACCTCGCCCTCTGCCGTGGGGTCGGGCCGCACGATCTCCCGCACCTTCTCCTGTACCACCACCTTGGCATTCTCCTCCTCCAGGGCCCATATCTTCCGGAGCAGCTCAGTCTTCTCCCTCTGGCTGGCACGAACCTTGGCGGCCTCGTCCTTGTACTGGCGAGCGAGGTCGCCGACCTCCCTCTCAGCTGCCACGTCCTTCTCCACCTTGAGCACCTCCTTGACGGTGATTTTGCCCTCGGCCCGGGCCCGCTCCTTCTCCAGCCTCCTGAGCTTATCCTGGAGGAAGCTCAGCTCCTCTTCCTGCTTCTCCCGGAGCTGGCCCTGGCGCTGGCACGCATCCTGCAGCTGCCGGTGCTCTGCCTCCAGCTGGGGGTCGTTCTGCAACTTCACCACCTCCTTCTCGGTGACCTTCTCCCGCAGGCGGCCCTTCTCTGCAGCCAGCGTGGCCACGCGCTGCTGCAGGAGGAGCACCTCTGCCTCCCGGGCCCCCTTCTGCCGCCGCAGCACCTCCAGCTCCTCCCGCAGCTGCAGGACCTCGTCCTCCCGGGCTCGGTCAGGCTCGATGCGCAGGACCTCCTTGACCACGTACTCCTGCCCCCCGCTCCTGGCCTCTTGCTCCAGGGTGCGCAGCCGCAGCTGCAATGCCTCCAGCTCCTCCTGCAGCAGCTGGTTCTTGTGCTGCTCCTCTGCCAGGGCCTGCTGCAGCTGCTGGAAGCTCTCCTCCAGTGCAGGGTCCGGGACCTTCTTCAGCACCTCCTTCCTCACCACTGACTCCTGAGGCCTCTGGCCCCGCAAGGTCCGGATCTCCTCCTGGGTGCTTGCCACCTCACCTTCCAGCTGCTGCCTCCGCTCTTTCTCCTCGTCCAGTTCCTTCCTGATCTTCCAGGCCTCCTCCCCTCTGGAGCCCGGTGTGCACCCTCGCAGGGTCTCATGGGTCACACCTACGTCTGGCTGCTGTGACAGAGAAGACAATGTGTAGTTAAAGCCAGACTCTCACAGCACATGTGGCCCATCCCACCTAGTCGGAGTGGATCTGGGTCACCCAGGAGCAGGTCCGACCGGTTGTCCTGTGATCCCCGGGGACTCCCTCAGTGCTGGCTCATGCTCTAGGGTTCTAGGGTCACTTTCAAAATGGTCAAACAACCAGTTTAGGTTTCTAAAATTAAGTCAGGTGAACCATTTTAAAACTTCAAGAGAGTCTAAAATGAAACCACAGTCTCCCACCTCTGGTCCTGTCCTAGAGCATGTCCGACATCTTGGAGACACAAGCAGGTATGTTTTCTGTGTGTGCCACATGTCTGTTTTTCCTGCACAAACAGTAGTCTCCTAGCTTGCGCCCCTCCACGTAGAGACCATCCATCCAGCATGCAGTGCTGCTTCATTATTTAATAGCAGTGTAGTTTCCCATTGCAGGGTCAGACCATGATTTAACTAGCCCATTGCTGATGAATACCAAATTGCTTCCGGTTTCTTGCCATCATGAGTGACACTGTCGTAAGCATTGTGGACTTTAAAAACTAACTTGTGGCCGGGCTCGGTGGCTCAGCCTGTAATCCCGCGCTTTGGGAGGCCGAGGTGAGTGAATGGCCTGAGCCTGCAGGTTCGAGACCGGCCTGGGCAACTTGGCGAGACCTCATTTCTACAATAAATCAAAAAAATTAGCTGGGTGTGGTAGTGGACGCCTGTAGTTCCAGCTACTTGGAAGGCTGAGGCGGAAGGACCGCTGGAGCCCAGCAGGTCGAGGCTGCGATGGCTGGGAGCGGCCACTGCACTCCAGTCTGGGCAACTGAGTGAGACTCCAACTCAAAAAAACAAAACAAAACAAAAAAAGACTAACTTGTACTGGGGACTCGGCACATGTTCTTTGAATTGAATACCTATGTTCTCGTGTCCATGGAAGCTCTGGCTCAAGCCAGTCTTTGTTCTGGTCCTGGCCAGCATTGGACACTTCCATCAATTCACAGGCCATTTCTCTGAGACAGAGTGAGTCTTTATTTCTCACCTGTTGGAATAGTTCTAAATGGAATTTTTTATGGAGGTCGATTACCTGTCTCAGGAGATTCAGAGCAAACTCCAGATTCTGCAGCCTCTGTCTGTTGATGGCGTTAACCTCAGTGAACTTAGCGGCAAGGACTGCTTCCTACAGAGGAGCATTTTAGGAGAGCAGTCAGCAGACGGGTCAACAGGCCAAGTGAGAAAGAGCTAGAAAGCTTGGACACAGTTTTTTTGAGAAGTCTAGATTTTGGGGCTAGCAGGATAGCTTCTTGCCCGTTCCTACCTGGAGTTTGACTACGGTCTCATCGGGGGAGAGAAAACTGGATCTAGAGTCAAAAGATCCAGGCCAGGGTCTTGGTCCCAGACTTGAGCCTTGATGTTTCCATGTGTATCGGGGATTCATAACGTCAGCCTTCTACCATACTTACCAAGGGGAGCAAAGTGGAAACGTCCCAAATATTTGGCCCTGGCCTAGAAACCTCTGTCCAGCTGTCCCTCTAGGCATATGGATGTCACTGCCCCAGAACAAGCTCCTTCTCATACCAAAACTGTTTGCACCCAGGAGGGCTGCCCCACCTTGGCCTTGCAGCTGCCCTGCCCACAGGGCTCACCTCTTCCTTCACTTTGGCGGCAGGAGACTGGAGCCTGGCTCTCTTGTGCGCGTGGTTGCTCCTGCCGTTCTCCAAGTCAAGAAGGGACCTTAGTTTCTCTGCTTCCAACTCATAGTCCTGGGTGGGAGAGAGCCATCCCGAGGATGAGGAAGAACAGCCAGGGAGAGGCGGAAGTGCTCGCTCCCTTTCGCCGACCCAGGCCCCTCTCTATCTCCTGCTGGCTGATTGCACAGTCTCTCTCACGGCTGCACCCCATGCTGACTGCCAGGAGGGTGTGAGGGCTGCCAGTACATCAGCGCACACAGCCACACCACAGAGCCACATGCCAGACCAGAAGTGCCCCCGGTTCCCCTCCACCCTGGAGTCGCATGCCTCCTCCTCCCCCCAGGGCCTTCCTGCGTGTGAGCGACTTCTGCGTTTTTCTTCACTGGGCACTGTACCGTGACTGTCCATGCTGCTACCACCTAATCCTCCAGTGTCAGGAGGAGGACGACAGCTCCTGCAGCCATTCCTCTGCTGTTGGACATGTGGGTCATTTCTGGTTTGTGTGTTTTGCTATTATAAATCATGCTGTTGCAGTGATTTTGTTTATCCTGCATTATTATTTTGTATTTTTCCCTGTAGGCTAAACTCCCCCTACAATTTATTCCTTCCAAGAGTATGAAACACTTTTACAGTGTCCGATGCCTGGGACCACACTGCTTTCCCAAGGGGCTGGGCCAGTTCGCACAGCAGCCAGCAGTACCTGGGGAAGGCCAGGTCCTCACCCACCCTGCCAGGCTGCTGCTTCTGTCTTGACCTGGTGGCAGGAGGCCTGCTCCTGTAGCTGGGTTGAAGGCCCATGGCTCACCTTCACAGCCTGTTGGTACTGCTGGGCACTGGTGTAGATCTTCTGTACTTCCTGTTCCCTGCTGGTTATCTCATCCAGCAGGTTCTGGAAAACAGATTTTAAAACCACAACTCACCACTACCACCACCAAAAGCACCTTATTGATCAGGGAGCCAGGTTCCTAAGAACCTGAATTTGTTCTTCTCTAGTACAAAGCATAATTGATGGTCCCTTGTATACATCTGTTCATTATAAAAGGCAATTCCAAGGCCCTGTGAAGAAGGGCCAAGGAGATGTTGTCTTTGCTAGGAAACAAATATTTGTTAAGTGCTCTGAAATAACAGGCACGCTGGACACAGTGGCTCAGGCTTGTGATCCCAGCACTTTGGGAGGCAGAGGTGAGAGGACTGCGTGAGCGCAGGGGTTTGAGACCAGCCTGAGCAACATGGCCAGACCTCGTCTCTACAATAAAATAAAAAAAATTAGCCAGGTGTGGTGGTACATGTCTATGGGTCCAGCTACTAGGAAGGCTGAGGTGAATGGATCACCTGAGCCCAGAAGGTTGAGGCTGCGGTAGCTGTGAGCTTGCCACTGCACTCCAGCCTAGGCCACAGAGTCAGACTCCAACTCAAAAATAAATAAATAAAAATTCCAAGCACTGTTGTTATCTCTGTTAGATGATCTCATTTAATCTTCAAATGCAACTGTGAGGCCAGCATCGTGATCTTCAGTTCGTGGATGAGGAAACCGAGGTGCACAGGCCCAGCAGCTTGTGAGCACGTGGCTGAAGGGGTGGAAACAGGGCTTGCCTCTCGTCTGTTCCTCTCCCATGAGCCCAGCCGTGGCTCTGGCCAAGGAGGGGGCAGGAATTCAAGTATTGGAAGGGCTTTTCCCCAGAGGGCTCCCCCTTGTGTTTCTGTGGCCATCCCACCAAGTGTCCGCTCAGGGCCCGGCCCTGTGCTGGGCATGGAGGACGGAGAGGCCAGTGACACACAGTTCTTGCTCTCAGAGACCTGAGGTCCAGCACGGACTTAGTTCTGCTAGGCCTGGCTCTGCTCCGTCCCCAAAGGCTTGGCTCCTTCCACAGAAGGGCTTGCTGACCTCCGACCCCTCACCACCATGGGTTGTACGCGCAGAGCGGCAGCCTCACCCGCTGGTTCTTCAGCTTGGTCTCCATCTGGTTAAGGCTGTCTGTCTCCAGGGGCTCGTAACTGGGAACACCGGACAGGAATTGCAGCATGCGGTCATAGCCACCACGGTAGTCATCATAGGCAGCCTTGGCACTCTGCAGGTTCTGGGCCCTGCAAGCCAACGCTGGTCAGGCCTCTGCCATGGCAAGCAGACACCCATGGAACCCTCAGTGTTTGAAAAGAGGGAAACCACCAAATGGAACTGCCCTGGAAATAAACATTCCCCAAAGGGGTGAATGCTAGTGGTGGGCTTAAACCAGAGAAACCAAGAGTCAGAGGAGACCCGGGGGGTCAGGAAGCCTTATAACCTCACCAGAGAGGAAGGCAGTGAGACAAGGGGCATGAGAATGGGGAATGAGCTGTGGCAGCGCTCTGCAGAACTACGGTGCCGGGACTGCGCGTGCAGGGAAAGACCTGCCTCTCGGCTGTGCCTCACCTGTGCTCCACCTGCTGGCACAGGTGCTCGAAGCGCTGGCCCAGCTTGTGCACCTCAGCCTCCTGGCGCTCCAGGTCAGGGCAATGCTCCTGGAAGCGGCTGGCCAGTGTGCTCGAGCAGTGCCTGGCCACCTGCAGGTTCTGCTGCACTTCGTCCAGGAGGGCCTTCTGGGCCTGCAGCTCAGAGGCCATGGCCTGCGGGGCAGAGAGGGAGACAGCAGGGCTGCGCCAGAGCTCCCGGAGCACAGCCATGCCACGCCAGGGCAGCCTGCTTTGAGGAGGGGGTGAGAGGCCTAGAAGCCAGGAGGATGGGGGCTCTGGACTTCTCGGACCTGGTCACTTCTGCCATCTTCCACAACAAACAAAACTCTGAAAAACTCACTCCCAGAAGCCCTGCAGTGATAGCTGTGCCCTGCACTGAAACAGTCTGTCTGTCCTGCCACTGTCCGGGCCTCCATGAAGGCGAGTCACAAGCCGGAGCATGAATAAGGGGCCTGCCTCAGGCCACAGGCTCAACCTCCAGCGGTCAGGCTAGCAGGCTGAGAGGAGAGAGCAGATGCTGGGCTCCTCCACCCGCCGACTTGACCAGGCAGGCCCAACTGCCAGCTCTGCTCAGTGGGAGCTGCTGGGAACCTGGGTTTCGACGCAGATTGTGTTTTTTAGAGATAGGGTCTTGCTACATTGCCCAGGCTGGTCTCAAACTCGAAACCTGAACACACTGGCTGTCAGGGCCTCTCAGCCCTCGGTGTCTTCATCTGTCTGGAGGGAGCAGGTGGATGTGCCTGGAGCCCTTGCTCAGCTCAGAGAAAGGCTCCTGGGACTCGCCCGGACTCACTGCCAGCTCCTGCCTCTTGCGGTCCAGGTCACGGCCGCTCTCGGGCACCGAGTCGTCCTGGGTTAGCCGGTTCTCGTGCGTGGCCAGCAGCTCCCGGCCCTGCTGCAGGCTCTTCTCCAGGTGGTTGGCCATGTTGACCCTGGGGACATGGGTCAGGCATGGGGGGGTGCCCGCTTGGCCCCTGGGCTTCCCTGCAACCTCCCCACCGCCCACCTGCCACCCACTTCTCCTGGGCGGCATCCAGCAGCTGTGCCAGGCGCTCATATTTCCGGCTAGTGTCCTCCACCCGGGTCCTCAGCAGGGGCGCTGTGCCACTGCCCGGGAGCGCCTGGATGAAGGCCTCGCACTCGCCCACACTCTGCGTCTTCTCGGGCTCGATCCGCAGCAGCTCGTTGGTGATGTTCTGTGGGGGGATGGGAGCCAGCGGTGTTGGCCATAGCTGGGCAGCTCCCCTCCTCAGGGATATGCCCAGGGAGCAGCTGGGGAGCCTGGGCCATGCGGGGAGTCTGACCCGGGGTCTGGGCCAGCCTGAGGATCCCAGGAACTGCTGCAGGTGGACTGGGTGACCATAGGGATGCCAGCAATAAAGAAGCAGTCATGGGGCACCCATCATCCAAGCACATCACGTGGATATTTTCATTTGATCTCGGGCAGCCCTACGAGGCGGGCACTGTCACATCACCCAGCCACAGGTGGGGGCCCAGCGATCCCAACAGCTTAGGGAGGGACACAGGTCAGGCCATGCCTGGGGCCCACCGCTCGGCCCTTACTGTGAGGCTACATCAGGGGCTATGGCAGTTCTCAGAACCCAAACTCCCCCTCTGTAGGGGTGCTCACTCCTGCCTCAGAAGACAGCTGTGAGGACCCAGGAGACTGTGGAAAAGGAGGTGGTGGAGGGAGGCTGCACGTGACTCACTCTGCCCTCCAGCCGCCCTGTCAGGGCGGCCAGCCCATCCTACTGAGGAAACTTAGGCCCAGGGGCTTAGAGAACATGTCTGTGGTCAAGTGGCCAGAGACCCAGCTCTATGGAGTCTCACGGCATGGAGCTGCCGGGCCATGAGTGTGGTGACCGCCCCATGCCAGGCAGCAGCCCGGTGGTTGACAAGCTGTGCGAAGGCAGCATGAGCTCTGCCCACTTTCTCCTGGGGATGCATCTGGGAAGTACCAGGGCTGGGCACCTCCTTGGAGGCCTGGACCTTGGCCTAGAACCTGGGGAGGTGACAGGAGCAGCCCTGCCACCTCCACAACTTGGGACCTGGTTACATGCAGCTGGCTGGCCCCGCCAGACACCTGCAGTGAATATCCCAAGATCTCATGGGGACAAGACCTTAGGCAGGGGCCCCAAAGAGCCAGGGGCCAGCACAGGGCTTCCCCAGGCCTGGCCCGTGTTTCCCCGCAGCAGTACCTTGAGGTCCCTGGCTCGCTCGGCGCAGTCCTGCACGGCCCGGGCCTGCTCCAGTGGGGGCCGCAGAATGCCTGTGATGGCCTTCTCTTGCCGGTCCAGGTCACTGGCCACCTTGTCCAAGCCAGCCAGCAGCTGCCGCCCCTGTAGGTCAGAGGCATCTGCCGGAAGGGACACGCAGTCAGGTCGGTTGGGGGGTGGGGGCGTGGGGTCAGCCTCTCCCATGCCGGACCCTGCCATCCCATCCAGGCCCTCGTTTTGGTGGGTGGCCCCGGCACCCACCTCCGGGGTTCTCCGTCTTCAGCACCTCGTGCCGCTGCTGGAGTGAGCACTTGCTCCCAGCTGCCTTCTGCCGTACACCCCGGTACTGGTTGCCCAGGCTGCGAAGGTGAGAAGGAGTAGGCATGGGGCAGCTGCACCCCCGGCACCCACAGAGGCAGGACTGCAGATGCTGGCTGAGCAAACAGGCCAGAGAAGGCCCACAGAATCCGGGGCTCATCAGATGCAGAGCAAGGCTCACTGCGGCACTGGCCTTCTCTGCTCCTGGGCCCAGAACCCTTCCTCCCTCCCTCCCTCCCTACTTTTCTCTATCCTTTTCTTTCCTTTTTTTTTTTCGAAACAGGGTTTTGCTCTGTTGCCCAGGCTGGCATGCAGAGACATGACCACAGCTCACTGCAACCTTGACCTCCTGGGCTTCAGCAATCCTCCTGCCTCAGCCTCCAAGGAGCCAAGACGACAGGCACATACCACCGCACCTAGCTGATTTTTGTAGAGATGGTGTCTCATTATACTGCCTAGGCTGATCTCCAACCCCTGGCCTCAAGTCATCCTCTAGCTTCGGCCTCCCAAAGTGCTGGGATCACAGGGGTGAATCTACGCCCAGCTCTCCTCTTTCTCTTTTGAGTCCCAGTCTCCTGGCACCCAGGCTAGAGTGCAGTGGCATGATCATGACAATCATGGCTCACGGCAACCTCAAACTCCTGGGCTTGGGCTATCCTTCCACCTCAGCCTCCTGAGTAGCTGGGACCAAAGGCACACACCACCAAGTCCGGCTAATTTTTTTATTTTTTGTAGAGACAAAGTCTTCCTATGTTGCCCAGCCCGGTCTTGAACTTTTGGGCTCAGGCAATCCACTCACTTCAGCCTCCCAAAATGCTGGGATTACAGGCATGAGCCACTGCACCCGGCCTTCTTTTGTCTTTATACCAAACCTTACTACCTAAATTGTCTGTTTTTTCATTAGTCTTCTCCACCAAGATGTTACTTCTAAGGGAGCAGTACACAGTAGGTGTTTAATATTTGTTGGATGAAGCTAATCCTTGAATAATTCACTTATTCAGCAAAGGGTTCTTGGGTGCTGTACCTACTTGTGCACAGGACACTGAACTAGGTCCTGGAGATAGTAAAGGAATCTGGGCCCAAAGGAATGCTTGCGGGGGGTGGGGGGGGGGGAGGGCGTTGAGAGCCAGGAGGAGGCAGCCCTCGTCCTCACTGAGTCCTTCTAAGTCAGCCAGGCAGCCAGTGGTGCTGGGGGGAGAGGCGCAGGCTGCAGGGTCACACTTGTGGAGACACCGATCGCAGGACAGGCCCAGAGCCGGCCCAACAGATGGGCCTCCCTTCAGTGCCAGCCTCCAGGGGTGCAGGTGGGGGCATCAGTGACCCCCCAAGGCCGAAGTGGAACGCCCAGGGTGGTGGTCCACGCAGGTTCCCCCCTTTGCCCTTGTACCTGTCTGCCAGAGCCAGGGCCTCAGGGTCAGTGGGGGGGATCATGAAGCACACAGCCGGGGCAGTCAGCTTGTTCCCGGCGCTGTCCACCAGCTCCCAGCTCTCCCCGTTGTTCTTGTGCAGCGTGTAGCTGTAGCCCCGTGAGATCAGGCCCTGGCAGGGCAGGCCCCCCCCCCCCCGC